ATAATGATCTTTAAAAAAGCATCATATGACCCCTTTAACATTATTTTTGTGCTTTTTCTCCATATACATGATCAGTAAATCAGACATTAATAAATATTATATATTTTTTCATAATATTATGTTATATTAGAATTATATTTAATGAAAGATTATATTCCTTCAATTTTGTTGAATTATCCGTTTAAGAGCTGTTGTTGATAAGATATTGTTAAATGTCTTTCTGCTTGTGATGCTTAATGGATGGACGACTAAAAATAAACAATATTTAATAAAAGACTGAATGAACATACATCTTCAAATTGTAGTGTAGGTGTAATAAGCATGGCTTCAGCCTACTTTTGCTCATTGTCTCACTAAATACTGTTAAAGCTTTGTTTCTGAGTTTACGCATACAAATATGAACAAAAATGAATTTAATTGAATATAAATGTCGCATATGCTTAAAACCAAGCACTGAATCCTGAGCGCTTGTTTGCGCAACCTTACTACTTACTCAGGATACTTGTTGTAAAATAGTGCATAATGACATATTACAACTGTAATAAGATATTCAAAATAAAACACTAACAATAACCATATGAACAACAAACGTTTCGAAAGAATGTAATTTATTTTAGGGCGTGCGCTTCCTGCTGCGATGACGTCAACACGTCGCAACCGCTAAGATGACGTAATAAACTGCCGCGTGATGCCAAAATGAAAAAGAAAGATCGACTACAGCTTTAACTCACGATATGTACGCAGGATAAACGAATCCGATGAGGTTACAGAGCAGAGAAGCGCCGTATCCGACCACCAGATAGACTGCAACGAGCAAGACGACAGCTGCGAGACAGACAAAAGACCACATGTCAGGGAAGACAGATAGGTTTTGGCTCTAGCGGCCTTCCATAGCTCTGTGATATGAGAAGCGTATTCTCGCTTAAACAGCATTAAAAGTCCGACATTACAGCACACATGTGTTCCTGGTTATAGGAGCATCAACACTCACCGCACGCGATGTAGGACCTGCTCACTCCGGTCCTCGCCTCGATCTTCGCCAGCACGTCTGTCATCAGGTTCTTCTCGTAAAGGAACTTCTCGAAGCGTTCTTTCAGCCCGTGCGCCATGGTTTGTCTGGCTTGGTGATGGATTTATCGCGATATGAAACACACTCGCTGAACAGCAGCTCTCGCCAGCTCCGTGCGCGCGGAGGCTGTGACGTCACGGGGCCACTTCTTCGACCACACCCTTCGTCGCGGAGTAAAGCAGACAGCCGCTAAAGATTTATTTATTTGCTTTTTAAATTTAAAGTTAAATGAGATATGCGTATAGATCTATTTGACTGTGCGAAAAGCCACGTGAAAATGTTCCACAGTTTAAACGCATCGTATGATCGCGTAGCGCAATCGATCAGACAAACATGCTAACCCTAAAACGCTCTGCGAACTTCACTATGATTGGTCGCTTGGTGATGTCCGTTATGTAGAGAGCGATGTGATTGGTCAAGAGTTCTCGGAGCGGAGTTACGCGCTCTCTCATTGGCTGACGCTTCCGGTCCCGCCTACTGTGAAGTTTTTCAAGCAACGCAATATTTTTAGCTCGTTAGCAAGCTAGCATCAGCGTCGTCGATATAAATTCACAGCACTGCTTGCTCTTTTATTGTTTAGCGTTCGAATAGTACAGAACCGTGTACTTTTGCCACATATTATATATGCGAAGCACGCGAGTGTAGTAGCTTTGCGCTGTTTTTAACGCACTAGTCTTGCTTGTTCGGGATGTTTTTACCCTTAACATGGAGACAAAAAGATGGGAGATTCCTAACGGGCTGCTGGATGACCTTTGCAGGTAAACCGAGAGCATACATTCACACCTGACTGTCTATTTAAAAGCACCTATAAGTGTAATGTGCATTTATATCAGTTTGCGAGGTCGAATAACTCGTAGCTGTCGTTGTTAAACGGCAATTTAACGGACTCCGTAGGGCTGCGTTGCAAAACCTATAAAGCTGCTAACAGGCAGACTTTGGAGTATAGTGGGCTCCTTCCGAGTCAGCTGCAGTTTTGTGCATCATTGGCGCGTGCTGAGGATATTTGTGTATCACATGAGCGTTTCCAGCTGCGGGTTTGGACGCGTGCCAAATAGGCGGTATTTAGACTCCAAACGTGAATAATAACGTTCCCCAAAGTCAGCCGTCTGATGATAATGATGCTGGCGATTATAGTAGTAATTGTTGTTCATATGTTCTAATGTTTTGTCTTGAATGGTCAATTGACTACTTGTAATAGAACTACTTCCGTGTTCTATTTGGTACGGCTTACGCATTTCCGGTGTAACAACGTTCACGCTCCTACAAATCCGGATGTGATTTCCATATGTTTATTTAATTATTATTATGATTATTGTAGTTTTTATCAGGTTTTCATTTTTTTTGTCTCTAGCTGATCCCTAGCTAGTGGAAGGTAGAAAATGAGAGTGCAGATTATTATTACTATTTAAGGTTCCCTTATTCTTAGATCTGTTGGATGATTGAGTTCTTCAGAAAACTAGTGTGCCACATTATTTAAAATGCTATGAATTATGTCACAAAGCTCAATGCAAGTAGTCCATTGTGTTGAACATAAATTATCCTTAAATGTGCTGTTGACTCATGATGCAGGCTTCATGTGTTCAGTGTTTTCTGTGCTTTGTCTTGTAGTCGCTTCATTCTTCACATCCCCAGCGAGGAGAGGGACAATGCCATCAGAGTTTGCTTCCAGATTGAGCTTGCCCATTGGTTTTACCTGGACTTCTGCATGCAAAATTCAACAGGACTACCTCAGTGTGGGATAAGAGACTTTGCCAAGGCTGATATCCTAAAGAGATCTGTTTATATTACTAGCATACTTTCTGAGAGAGAGTACTGAGTTTGTCAAGTGTTCAGTAGCCTTAGAAAAGAGGTGGGAAAGGTTTTCAGCACTGCAGAAAGAGAAAATCCCCATTACTAATGCACAGACTAAATGCACAGTGTTTAAACTGATTGGATATTTGAGCTGATTCCTTCTTGATCTACAAAGTTAGAGCAATTATCAATGGTGGTGATTCATTATTATGTCACTGAAAAATGTTGCTTGCACCAAATAGCACAAGTTGCCTTGTGACTGAACGCTATATTACGCTTTTCTTTGAGCAGAATATTGCACTGGAGAGATCCACATACCCCAAAACACACTTTTAGCTCATTTAAAAAGCAACATAAGTTGAGCTAAAGTACTGCACGATTCAGAAAAACAAATAACGGAAAAGCAGTTGAAAGGGCACATGATCTTTCTTTTGAATACTTTATGTATTGGCGTTTATAGCAAATATACAGAAAATCAAATTTGCAGCAAAAAGGAACCTCATGATCCATAATCCCACAGAACTTTACCTTTTCCTCTTCATGCAAATCTATTAATGACATCAAAAACATCTAACTAATAGTTCAAACACTCTTCAACGTGACAAGCACATATATACAGTAGTGTTAGCACGACTATGTAAGATGGGGAAATAAACAATTAGAGACATCAGGACCTGCAATTGACACAGTAAAGCCCCGTTCACACCAAGAATGATAAATATATAGATAACTATATTAGCGTCCACACCAGCGGACGATATAGTCCGTTTATTCTAAGCGCGCGCTCGTCTGCTGCTTTAAATTCTCCAGCTCGTTATAGCAGTATTTTTAGAACTTTATCGTTATAGTTATCGTCCTTGGTGTGAATGGGCCTTAAACCAAAATGCCTTCTAAATTGTGATCAAATTCTTAAAGTGTGTGTCACCACCTTAATTGTTCATGTAATGCGACCGTCGTTGAAAGTGGTGCACAAACTAAAGATTTAAGGGAGAACTTTGCTGCATGAGTGCATGATCTTTATTGTCAGATTATGCAAAGTATAATGTTTCCGAAATGTGCAAGATTGAACCTCAGATTGGGTTGTTTGGATTTATGGAAACCTGGCAGCCCTGAGCATTTTAAAGTCTCATGGATACTGCAGTAACATAGCTATTAACTCTGGATAATTGAGAATTGTCAGCAGTGTTCATTATGTTAGGGTTAGGGTTATAGTTTTCTTCAACAACATTTTTTTCCCAGACGAAAATGAGACTAAAACGAACAAGTTTTGAATGACAAAAATCTATTGACCTTTTCGTCAACGATTAAAATCGATAAAAAAAATTTAAGGAGGGACAATTTGTGATGCCCAGAAACTGGTTAAAAAGCAATGTTTTTGTGGTTTCTTTCTCTCTGTGTGTCTCTTTAACATTATGATCACTTTTTAATCACTGTCCATTCCTGCTGCCCCATGGAGAGGATGTTCAGAAGGTTTTAGAGCAGTGGAAAGAGTATAAGATGGGTGTGCCTACATTTGGTGCCATTATTCTTGATGAAACACTTGACAATGTAAGTATACAGCTGCTTGGAAGCATCATAAACTGTTATGCGTTTTTAAAAAGGGGTGCAGAAACCTTCATGTATTCATTCTTTATTTTTACCTGAAGGTGTTGATGGTCCAGGGTTATCTGGCCAAGTCTGGCTGGGGTTTTCCTAAAGGGAAAGTCAATGAAGATGAGGCTTTCCATGACTGCGCTGTTAGAGAAGTATGCCGCTTTCTCAGCTTTCAAGATACAAATGTTGGTTTGGTTTAATGAAAACCACTGTTAAGGTTGTTTGATTTCTCTGCAGGTTTTGGAGGAGACCAGCTTTGACATCCGAGATCGTATCTGCCAAAAAACATACATTGAACAGAGGATTTCAGATCAGTTGGTTCGATTGTACATTATACCAGGAGTTCCTAAAGACACCAAGTTCAACCCCAAGACCAGAAAAGAGATAAGGGTATGTATACATTTTAATGCTCTATAGAAGCACATGTGTTTGATTGTCTAAAGCTCTGATTGTGTTTCTCTGCTCTTTTGGTTCCTGATAGAACATTGAATGGTTCTCAGTGGATAAACTGCCTTGCCACAGGAACGATATGACCCCGAAATCCAAGCTTGGACTGGCTCCTAACAAGTTTTTTATGGCTATTCCATTTATGAGGTACATCTTCTCATTAATGATGTTCTAGAGTGATCCATGTTCATGTTTTGTTTGTTGTGTGGAGTATGAGTGTGAGGTGTAATGTGCTCATCTGCAGGCAGCTCAGAGAGTGGATTGCCAAACACAAAGCAGAGTCAACGAGCAGCGATGAGGATTTTGCGTCCAATGGCAGCACACCTTGCAAACCATTCCGGTGCGATTATTCTCACTATAGAAAGCATTCACCATCGCATTTTCACGTGTGTGAAGATGTTATGTTTTGCAGCACTAGTAGTGCAGTAGAATTATGGTGCTTAAACACTATAGTAGGGATGGACCAGGATGGCTAGTCTGTCCAATAACAACTGAATTTAATATTTGAGTGGTTGTGCGTTTCATAAAGAGGGTTGCAATTGTCAAATATGAGCCAGTAGACTAATTCTAGTTCTTTCACATTATTTGTTGACTATCTGAAGGCTGAACTTAATGCTCATTAAGTGTGGGGCCCTAAGACTGACTGGTCGTACAGAGAGCCCACTGATTTATGTATTAAATTGACTATGAAATAATTAAATATTACATTTACATTAACATTTAAAATATTAAAATATTATAATGTATTGCATAGTAACAAGGGTATTAAAATAAAGTTCCAGTAGGTCCAGCCTTTTTATTTTGTAATATACTTTTTTTTTTTTTATACTTTTTTTTTTGGAATAGTTATGAATTTCCACTTTGTAAAAGAGAAAATCCCAAACAATCATCAAAAATGTGGATATTGAACTAAGCCAGTGGTGCAACAAATAATGCATTTTTTTTTTTTTTTGAGTATTAAAAGGTAAGATCAGATGTTTTATCAGGCTATCACTTTTTTACATTTAGATACCTATGTGTGGCAGAAGGCCATGTGACTGAGAAAAAAACCGTTTGGGCGTTTTTCTGCCTTCTGCAAACGATTTTTCCATTTTATTTATTTTTTTATGAAATGCTCTTAACATGCTGATTAATATTGCTAAGTGTAGACAAAAAATGTCTTGTAATTGTATTTGCTGCTTTGTGTTTACTGGTGGACACAGAGCAGAAAGTGCTTAAATGAAGTGCATTTTAAAATATTAGAGGTTATTTTACCAAAAGATCATCACCATAAACTACCGTTGTCATATTGTGTTTCACGGCCCGTTGGCACCAAACCATAGTCTGGAGGACC